ACCGACGAAAACGGTGATGATCCATCCACACATGCACGCATTACCGACGAAAACGGTGATGATCCATCCACACATGCACGCATTACCGACGAAAACGGTGATGATCCATCCACACATGCACGCATTACCGACGAAAACTGTGATGACCCTTTCACACATGCATCCATTACTGACGAAAACGGTGATGATTTCTAATCCTTCACATCCACCTTTATTACACGAACTTATGAGAAATGTACTCTCACCACATACCGGATCTGTAGGAGACCTAATTTAATCTTCTTCCTATACTTGTGGAATGGAGTTAAAACAGTTTCGTAACACTTTGTGTTGGCTAAATAGATTAGTAATTGTACTAGAAACTTCTATGACCTAGCCTTGGGTCACATAATTATGATAATTCAAGCAGAAGTTAGATACTGCTAGTACTATTTCAGCGAGTGTACCTTTCATTATTTTCTAGAACAAATGGGAAGTGTTGCGACTTTGACCTCTTGAACTCAATTTATTTCCAAATTATACCAAGAACGCTTCTCGTGCGTGTTGGAAACCCTCATTTTACTGTTCTCTAGTTACTCCACATCTGCATAAGTAACAAGAATTTCTATACTAAACGAGACCTAAATCCAATGATATGATTGATATACTGTCAAATCGCTTAACTAATGTTATATTATGTATAAAGCAAAGCAAATAGTAATATGTTATAAGATATGGAATATATATGTTTAATTGAATCATGCAAGTCACGTCAATAAACGCCTATAAACAGGAGATCAACAAAATAGGCCATTTACTCATTTTATCCTATAAAAATATTCATGGGAGCATTTAATAAAAATATAAATTTTCGTAACATCATATTATTAACGCTTCTTCAAATGGCTTGATAATTAGTTTTATCCAGATGAGGTATTGGAGATAGGAAGTCCCAATAATACGTCAGATGTAGGAAATTTTCGTTGATAAAAGAAAACCATAAACAAAAAGAGTTTAATGTGGCAAGAAAAGTCACTTAAATACAAATGTGTTCAAAGAGGTTAATTAAAAAAAAAGAAGGAAAATTCAGTGTTAATTTGGCTAATTAATAATTGGAAGAAAACTGTATACAAGGACTTGATTTTATCGAAAAATGTGAAATGTCTTCATTAAGATAGGTTTAGTTTTTGAATGACTTGTGTGTGTATACGCGCGCATGCGTGTTTCTTCGCAAAGGAAATGAAAACGTTAGCTATACGTTCGTTACAAAACAGTTTTAAAAGCAGTCATACGTTCATATTGCACACCAAATTAAAAATGCGTATTTTTTGCGAATCTAATTCAAGGTATTTGACGCTCAAGCATAAGCCTATCACTGATACTTTACTCATGACATGATAATACTGACATGTTGTATTCGTTTAAGGGTAGTTGCATCACTTGAAATGAACGTTATTCGTGCATTCTTTTTCAACTGTTTTTAAGTTTAACCCATTTATAGTCGTTAAGGCGTTGTATTTAATATAACAAGAAATGTTAAAAAAGTTAGGAAAAGCTGCTACGTAGTAAGCTAATATATAACAAGTAGTATATACAGACACATATATCTATACATGTATGGATAAGTAATGGGTTATACTCTATACATATATGGATAAGTAATGGGTTATACTCTATACATATATGGATAAGTAATGGGTTATACTCTATACATATATGGATAAGTAATGGATTATACAGATGTAGCTTTACTGGGCCTGAAAACATTCTTCTCAATGAAAAACTGTCATAAGCGTTTTTTTGTATTTCTCTCTGTGGATATTTGTGTGTGAAACCCCGCGGTTAGACACTGGTCTTCGAAGCAAAACAACATTCTTGATAACACTAGTTACCTCGTAGCTGGAACAAGTTAAATCATTAATTTTACATGTAGGGGTCGCATCTATCTTAGCAAGCCACACTTGCTACACTCGTTACTGATTACCCCATTCAAACCAATTGAAAGAAAATGCTATCTCTAGGTTCTATCAACCTTCTACAGTGTCCTGTTATTGGTTAAGACACTATGATTTTAAATCTGACGTTTACTTTTCTAATAGCTCTGCTCATTTAAACCCAATGGCTTTCTGGGCGAATCGTATTTAAAAGATTCAATGGAATTTTTATTTTAGTCTTTACTTTGCCTCAAAAACAATCTGTGAAGTATACATTTTCCACTGAGTATATTTCATAATGCGAATATAAAAACTATTAGTGAAAAATTCCATTTTATATAAATAGAAAGATCAACAATGTCCCAAAAAGGCTCCCCTGATGGCTTACCTATACGTGATTTTTCTCTCTTTTGGCATCGTCAGAATGATACACCGTCTTTTCTGATTCATTGGTTTACGCTAGCTTTGCAATCAGACAGATCATGTAAAGTGCACTAATGAGATATAAGGATGATATTAGATAAGTCAGGTGTGCGGTAAAACGAAATAGGGCTTTATACTTTGGTTACTGTGTCGACATTTGTAAAAATATAACCACAGGTCGAGCGAACAATATTTTCCTTAGAGCATTTCTAGAAGATTATGAAAATAAACATTGGTCTATTCTCATACACAAATATGAAACAATACGACAACTGTCACTACACAGACACTCTGAAAGACTATTGAGGGAGAGAGATCAAACTGTTCTGTGTAATAGAAACAATATTTTAGGAAACTATCTTGTATGAAGATGATGATTAAAGATACACACATGGGTAGATGTTAAAATAAATAATTTGTGCGCTTATGACAAACATTGTTAACGGATAAAAATAATTCTACGTGTGTGTGTGTGTGTGTTCAAAAATAATTCTGTATTTATAAACTAGAAAACTTTAGAGGCAAAAAAAGCAGTTCCATATGTTTGTATTTATAACAAAATAATCTGTATTAATGTGAAAGTTCTAAAACACATACACACAAAACGCTTAAGTATTTATCGCTTTAATCTATGTGACAATGTTCAAAGACGTACTGTTGTATGTGTGTAACAATTTTTAAACAACTATGTATAAAACAAAAGAAGATAATTAAGTAATTAAAACAGAGCCAGAAAAAATCAGCACGTGTGTAACAATGTTGGAAGGAAGGCTATATATATATATTTGTGGTAAAAGTGTCACATTTCACCATAAGCTTGACAGAAATAGGAATTCGACAATGCAGTTAAAACAATGTTTGTGACTATATATAAAACATATCGGAATGTTTTAATGAAATCTATTACTAAGTAATTTTTCTATATCCGCAAATGAAACAAAGCGCAATAAAACTGCCTAATTAATGTTCTAATACTGTAGTTTTAACGATTTACAATGTCAAATAAGTTTATTTAAAAGTAATATTACTGACTTATGTTACTTAAACTAAGCCTCAATTTATTAACATACAACAATCTCTCGATGTTGTGCTGTATATTTTTTACTTCAGCTGCAATTCTTTTTATCAATATTTTCGTATATGAAATTAATGTACTCATAACTAAACACAAACTGTTCTTAGTTGAAACAAATTAATTACTATTAAAACTCTTAATGCATTAATCCCAGAACAAGCACATCTTACATGAAACGTAATCTCAGCTGTACTTTAACATGCTTTTTGCTGTCCAATAATTTAGTTCCTGAAAAAAAATATCATCATACACACACAAATTAACAAAAAAGGATTTTTTCATTTGTTTGTTCGTCAATGTCATTATCAAATGAATCACATTTGAAGTCAACATTTAATAGTTTTCTTTAGTATTGTTTCTAATTGCGTTTGAAATGGAAGTCAGGATTGCACCACGAGTTATAAGGTAGAGCTGCCTGCAATGCGTGCTTTACCGCACAGTGATATTATTATACCGTAAAGTACACATCACAGGGGCGATACTACATTTACCAGTAGGCAGACTAGAGTTATCTACAGTTTTAATTGCATCATATCTGTTTTATTTTAATACAGATATTTGAGAAAAGAAAAAGAAAAAAAGACGAATGAGAAAATGCCCTTTAATCTCCTTTGTAAAACAATAAAAAAAATGAAATGGAATTATATTACGAATGTACATACTTTAATTTTGATCTGGTATGATCGATTCTCTGTTCACGCCCAGCTCCGTGACGTCATCGTGCAGGCGCCTGTTAAGAATGTTGTAGATAGTTTAGTAATAAAAAAATAATAAAGATCTGCTCGAATATTAATTTTACATATACCGTTTCTCCTTGAGAGATCACTAGACACGGTAATCTAAAACAACAAACAGTTCTGATTATTGTTTCGTGAAAAACTATTTTTAAACTATATTAAACATTTTTGCAAATAAATAGCAATTAATATAACAAAAGAAAAGCTTTTAGATTTCGCTAACAGCCTTCTCAGCAAAAATGTTACATTGGAGGATCGAATAATACCTATTTTTTGTAGCCATGTTATGAGTATGTTGACGTTGACTAATAATTTAACGTCATCGTAAATGTCAACCATCACTAAGAGTTATACATTGAAATATTTCTTGAGAGTAATACTCAAGAAAAAGCATTTCAAACCTAAACGATAATAATAACTGATCATTGTAAAAATGCATCCAGCTTGGCAAATTCACCCTATTTTTATTGTCTAGTCTAAATATAATAAACCAATACAAGAAGGTTAATATTAACAATTATAATAAAAACAGAAATCATGAATGTATAAAATGTTGTTCAAATAAAAAATATCAATAAAGAAATTAAAGTTAATTTCAGCTGAACGATTAAATATCATTGACTAGTTAGTTTGATATAATTATAAATGGATTTTTTTAACAGCCGTTTTTTAATATTGCTTAAAATACTTTTCGAAACGTTACACTATAAAGAACGCGTACTTTCTTAATGCACTCACCTTTTGGTGGCTGTGACCAGAAGCTGTACTTTGTAGAAAAATTAATAAAAAAGAAACTTACCTTGATCTTCTTGATGCTCTACCTTAACATTAAGAATGATTCTAAAAGGATACGAAATAAGGTTCACTTGTCCGCCACTGCACTGCTATCACACATCTGTTTCTATAGCAACGGCACTAATGTTGTTACTTGGTTGAGGTTTATAGTTGGGCTTCTTGTCCAAATGGTCACAGCTGAGAAGAACCCCTTCCTCGAGCTCCATAATGTCTGACCCCGACTCACTCAAAGAGTCACGACGAGGTTTTAGCCCCACTGTTCCTGGCAGGTAGGGACAGGCTGTCACGTGATTAAAGTTTTGTGATTGCATCTCCTCTTGGTCGGTTTCTCGGTGATAGAAGTAGTTGAAATTAGATACGATCACGGGAACTGGAAGCGCTATGGTCAGCACACCTGCTATGGCGCACAAAGAGCCCACAATCTTGCCCCACACACCTATAGGACACATATCCCCGTAACCCACGGTTGTCATGGTTACAACGGCCCACCAGAAGGCATCCGGAATGGATTTGAAGTTGGACCTTTCGTTGTCGGCCTCAGCGTAGTAGACAGTGCTGGAGAAGAGAATGACTCCTATGAACAGGAAGAAGATGAGTAGGCCTAGCTCTCTCATACTTGCCTTCAGTGTCCGACCCAGGATCTGGAGGCCTTTGGAGTGTCTAGATAGTTTGAAAATTCTGAAGACTCGCACCAAACGGATAACCCTTAGAATGGCTAATGACATGGCCTGGTTATTGCTGACCCTCTCATTCGTTTGGACAGGGGAGCGGTTGTTTTCCCCGGCCATCACTGTCCCCAGGGTGATAAAGTAGGGAATGATGGCCACTAAATCTATGGAGTTCATGACGTCCTTGAAAAAGGCTATTTTATCAGGGCAGGCCAGGAAGCGTACCAACAACTCAAAAGTAAACCATACTATACAACAAGTTTCAATCAAAAAGAAAGGCTCGATCAATTTGGGCACTTCATCTTCTACAACTTTGAGAATGCCATTAGTGGTGTTGAAGACTTTGTAATGTTTAAAGTTCGGCAAGGTCTCCAGGCAAAATATGACGATGGACAGGAGGATAATAACGACGGAGATAATGGCGATGAGCCGCGCCCCCTGAGAACTTTCTGGATATTCAAACAGTAGCCACATTTTTTGCTGAAGTTCGTGTGTTGGAAGAGGCTTTTCTTCTTCCTTGATAAATCCTTCATCTTCCCGGAACTTGTTGAAGGCCACTTCGCCCAGTTCGTAGAACTTAATCTCCTCTGCAAATATGTCTAAAGGTACATTAACAGGTCGCCGAAGCCGCCCGCCACTTTGATAATAGTAAAGGATTGCATCGAAGCATGGCCGGTTTCTGTCGAAGAAGTATTCATTCCGGAGAGGGTCAAAGTACCGTATACGCCGTGCTGGATCACCGAGAAGAGTGTCGGGGAACTGATTCAACGTCCGGAGCTGGGTTTCGAACCGTAGGCCACTTACGTTCACTACAACTCGCTCACAGTAGTCGTGATCGTGTGGGATAGGTTCAAAGTTGCCGCTACAGTTGATCTGGCCCAAACCTTGATGTCCTAGCAAACCGTCTCCATCACAGCAGTTTTCGTCACCAGTGAGCTTCGGTAGGGACCTGGGTGAGGACGGGAGAAAAGATGAAGATTTACGACGTGTAGCAGGAAAATGAAACAAACTACCGTTACCAGTGTCTTGACTACCCATCTCTCCCTTACTAGCTGACGGCCGCCGGTGGCCTTTCTCGGCCCGCCGCGGCCGCAGCACGGGGGATAATCCCCACTTATCACCAAATTGTAGCTTTGAAATTTTGGTGAGAATTTTGATACCAGTTCGGACGGAACCCACTACACCTGCCAGGGTGATAATACTTATATGGCCACTGCCGAACTGGCCCTAGTGGCGCGATCCAAACAGAAGTCGCGGGAAACTACCTGGACTGTTAAACAATTTCATGAAATGGTTGTCGGGCTGCAGCACGCGACATACACGCCGCCAATCACAATGACGTCACACCCGTGTTCTGCTCGAAAGTGAGAGGTACAAGTTGACTGGAACTGCTCTGTCTGTCCGTGAACCGCGAGCCTACCAACTTGACTGAATCGATATGGGCTAGTCTGTCTGATTACAGGCGAGTGAGCGACTCTTTGTGCATGCCCTGCTGGCGCTACTAGCACTGGTGTCGCACTCAGAGTACTCTATGAATACTTTTCTGAAGCTATGATAAAAACGACAATCATTGCTCAACATTGCATAGTATATACAGTAAAAACAAACAAACTATGCTTGTTTTGTTAAGTCCCAAATCATAATTTTATAGGGTTGTATTCATCAGTTCCTTATATCTGTAGAGCTACAAGCGTGTAGCTTGTAAATAATGCAAAAAGAAATAAAATCTACCAAAAAAAAGGTAACATTTGAGTTGTTTTGTTTCAATTATTAAAACCATGTTATTACGAATATTTTAATTTTGACTATTTTATCTACAAATAATTGATTTATGTAATGTCAAAAATAGTTTTCTTCACCAACTGAGGCTAGTGTGTATGTAGTCCTAAACTAGCTTATATTTGAATGAATAACTAAAGTTCAAATTAACTACTTATATTTATAAAGTATGACGTTACTAAGATTCAAAAGTGTTTGTCTGAGTAAATAAATACGACCGGAAAATATCACTATAAAGTCTAATACTTCACATTTTTTTAGCATGATGTTTGGTATTTTTTACCTTAACAGCACGTTTTGACACGCATTATTTAAACGGCCAGGTCAGTGTCCTTTAATGTTTAGTATTCGCCATATTTTATTCGGATATTCATAACTGAATACTTGGACCGATCACAACGCCTTCCCCAGCAGAAAATTCTGAGCATGTTCAGAGACACACTGCGGTTTAAACTACCTATGAAGGCGGGAAGTTCAAAAACAGGAAATATTTTGCGGATATCCGGTTTGTTTGTTGCCCAAACAAGCGCGAAAGGAGACGTCTTGATTTTTTACTATGTACATAAAAAGTATTTTCTGACGCATTGTTAAAGATATGGTTTGCATGTCTTCAAAAATTATTAACTTATTTAATAAACACTTAAAAAATTACATTAACTATTTCATTATTCCTCAACTTTATTATTTACCCCAAACAAGGCTTATCGTCTAACTAATCAATCTCTCTATAACCACATTTTGAAAAATTAGTTTGTTTTTTGTAAAAAAAAATTATAAGATATATAACATTAATGTTTTACTATACTAAATATATGCGAAAGCAGTGCATTTCACTTTACTTTGGGTCTAGTGCCGATATTTTCCCCAAACGTAAGTCGCAGCTAAGTCAAATCACTAATTGTTTTCTGTCGGATTAGAGGAACGTCACAAATCACTCTCCAGTAGGCCTCATTTTGAGGTATATATTTAATGTCACAGCACAGTTCTATTCTTAGATTTGTATGTAGGGAAAAGCGATCAAAATACTTAAAAAATAAAAAAATAAACACGCTGCGTGTTAAGTGTCCATGTCATTATCGAGTGTCTGTGGTTTTTGTGACTTGTCCTCAGACAAACGACTGACAAACTCTACTGTTAACATATTATATTCGTTTGGATACCAAAACGAGCTTTAACTGAAAGCTTCACAGTTTGTAGTTAAAGGTACTTAACGTCAACAAGCTTGTAAGCTGCCGTTTTCAAAGAATGTACACAGATTAAGTCTCCAATTTGTTTATGTAAGCTATTCCGCTAATATTGTAATACATACAGACATAAACGCTGTTGCTTAACGTTACGAATTTAGGAATTTTAAACTGCCAGTGAAGTTTTGAATATAAACGAATTAGGTAATTTTTTACAGCATTCAGTAACCAAAAGTGATATATTCAGCCAATAGCCATGGTTCAAGTTCTTCAATTTTGGTGAATCAGTAAAAATAAAGTGTTACGTTTTATATATATTATACAGTGGGTTTAATTTCTCAATTTTTTAAATCACAAATACTGTTTAACAAATACTACGAAAAATAGTTTGTTACTTGAAAACTGCAAATCGAAAGCACATGATAAACAATGGCAAGACTTTTCACTACTGGATTTAAAAATATTTTTCTTCCAAATCAATCTGCCCGTAAGTTTTTAGTTACGGTAACAAAAGCCACATCGAAACATAAGAATTTCAGGCTACTGTAGTGCTTATGCTGAAGATATTTCGCCTTACGGTCATAGTGGTACCAAAACATGCGTTTATATTTTTGAACTACTGACCAGAGGGAAAAGTAGCCAGTCAACAGCATGGTACCACCTTTCATTTATACTAAAAGATTGACGGTTTAAAGCACGGGGGATAATTCGTGGTATCATTGAGTCGCCAGCTCCGAAATACAGAGATCTACAAATAAGGTCAACCCGTGCCTCCATACGAAACTAAATTTGAAAAAAAAAAACTACTTTAGAAAACCTTAAAAATGTTGATTTCGCTTTTAAACAGCACTATATGTGCTGTATAATTTAGATTACTATCTTTATCGACAAATTATACCCAAGTTTATGATTTGGTCGTAAAATTTCATAGGTGTTGGATTAGTTCAGAGTGAATTTAAATTATCAAGATTAAGCCATTATGTGACAAAAATGTGTGTGTGTGTGTGTCACCAAACTTGGCATGTACCGAGGTGACGTACACCGAGTGGTCACAAGTAAATAGACACCTAATATTTCGTCATTTAACTGATTTATGCTAACTAATTTGTGTTCATAGACCACTATATAAATGAAAATGGTCCACATACTAATTGTATTGTGCTACAACATGCCTAGAACTCAAGGTTCTCTCGATTTGTCAGATTTTGTTAGAGAAAGGATAGTTGGTCAAGCAGATGGTGGAATAAGTCAGACGCAAATTTCGCAGAATTTGGGAATCCCGCTTTCGACAGTCAACAGAATCATCGTGAAGTTCAGGAAACACGGCAAGGAAACAACTGAGCAGCGTCCGGGTGTCCTGGATTTATATGTGTAAAATGAAGAAATACTTTGGACTTTACAATGTATGCAGATAGCCAAGATGGTTGAGAAGCAATTATATTGTTAGCTTTACAATGTATGCAGATAGCCAAGATGGTTGAGAAGCAATTATATTGTTAGTATTTGAAAAAAAACAACTTTGGACTTTACAATGTATGCAGATAGCCAAGATGGTTGAGAAGCAATTATATTATATTGTTAGTATTTGAAGAAAAAACAAGCTTTTGCTTATTCTTCAAAGGTTTTGTTCGATCATTCTGATGTATATTCTTCAAAAACCGGATACATATCCAATCTTCAACGAAAAGAAAAACATCAAGGCCACATGTAAGCTGGCTTTTAAATATATATATATGCGCTTATACAGTTATACACTGTATTTAGAAATGTTTATATCTTAGCCTAACTAATGTTCACTGAATGAAATAATATAGTAAGTGTTTACTAAACCAAACCATACTGTAACAATTTAGTGTTTACTGAATCAAATCCTAATGAGCAAGTTACTGATGCCTAAACTAAATCGTGTTGTATTTAGTGTTTACGAAACTTATTCCACCTGTATTGAGTTTTTAATGAATGTCCACTAACAAGATCTTATCAACTATCGGTAATTATGTGTAACAGATTATAACTGTAAACTTTCATATGTTATAAACCTTATTCAGGAAAAGGAAACTAACATACTTTGATATTTGACATAATTAAAATGGTTGAATTTATTATAGTGCTTTTGAAAAAAAAACTATACGTCAGTCTTGTTAATACATTAAAGCACCCCGATGGACAAGTTACTTAAAGCTTAAACATCATACATCTTTAAAGCTGTCAACTGAATAAAAATGAATGCAGCATAAGTTTTCATACTATAAATATAGGAACAAATATTGTAACAGAGAAAAATAAATTGATTCACCGGTACTGAACTTTCTGAATACATATACCACCCCCCTCAGAGACTCAGCAGCAAGTACGAGAGCATATAACACTAACAATTGGGTTTCGATACCTATGGTGGGCTGAGTACAGATAACCCATTATGTAGCTTTGTGCTTAACAAACAAATGTAATTTGTTAACTTGATTCATTGTATCACAAAGAGTGCAACCAACAAAAGCCCTTGTCTATTATTGAAAAAAGCTTGTAAGAGAAACTAAGACATTCACATTTTAATCATTATTTATTCGGTTACTTCACAGTTTAGTTGTGTAATCTATGTTCATAAAAGGCATATGCGTTTTAACGTTCACAGAATGACACCTGTTCAAGGTGTCTCGTAACAAATCCAATTTTAAAATAATTATTGTTGAACCTTTAAAAAATCGAAAACTTGAAGTATTTAATACTTCAACATAGGGTGACTAATGAAAAAGCAAATTCAAAATTATATTTTAAAAGCTACAACTGCCAGGGCAAATTTTCGCCAGAATAATGTTAAGGATCATGTGTTTATACACAGGTAGGGAGTTCCAAAACCACACCTTATTGCACATCTAAGTTGACTCTCTTAGAAACTAATATCGCATTACCTTTATTTCTCGTTCAACAATACAGTATTTGTGGTTTTAATGATACGAGTTTCATGGTATTTCGAAGATCAACGAAC